TAGAATCTCTGATTGTCGCGTATATCGATACGACGTTCCTGCATCTCGACAAGGGTTTCTAGCCAACCCTTGATTATGGCTAGTGGCGACTCCAATCGAATGTATAAATTAGACAATTCTCGTCGCGCGAGGTATGAGGCTTGGGAATGCCTCGATCCTTGAATTATTGAACTATTTTGTTGTCTTTCAAACGAATCAATTAATATTCATATCCATCAACAAATATCTCTTGACCTAATCCAATCGGGACGGATAGGTCGCGACAATGTGTACATTGATTAACTAATGATATGCATGGATAAATTCAATCAAAACTCTGATGTGACGTCGAATAATTCCAACCCAGAAGCTTAATCTATTAGCGGAGATCATATCAATCCTAATGATAATTTGATACTAGGGTGAGAGGTGCAGTATTTGGGCCTTTCTTTTCGGTCGAGATGATTAGCATGAACTCGCATCGTGACTAGGTTACAGGTTTCTTTAATTTGATTCCAAGTGTTTGATCTTTATCCAAAATTAATTTCTAATAATACCAAGTTTTTGTTGTTCGACAATTATCACAAGTAGGTTGAATGGAGGAGGAAGAATTGTACTCATGATCTATGCGAATAGGCGCGATGAGTTCGATAGGCCCGCTAATCACATGGGTGCACATGCATAGAGAAAATAGGTACCTTAACATTGACCCAATATGCAATATGAACTTTTAATTTATTCATTATGGTCCTTGAACTTTAGTCCAATGTGTAATGTTTTCCTTGAACTTTTAATTTGTTCAATATAATCTCCAAACTTTTGGTACATGTTCAATTTAGTATCTGATTCGAGCTGAATATTATCCACATGTAACATTATTTTTTTATCCACCATTGAAAGTTCCATTAACTTGAATTAATGTAAGGATAATATTGGACATTTTCATATACTTTAGAGATTAAATTGAATATTTATTAAAAATTTAGGGATCGCATTAAATAAATTAAAAGTTGAGGTATGACATTGCATATTGGGCTAAAGTTCATGGTCCATTTGTGTAATTATTCCAACATGAAAATGATGATTTTATCATTTTAAGACATTCAAGCCGAGGTAGATTAATTTATCCCAGTTTATATTTTTTTAGATTGTGTATCGAGTGGCTTAAAAAGACGGTTCTCTTTTTAATTGGTCCCAATTCATACATCAAGATCAGCTGGGACAAGGGGATTTCTCAGGTATAATAATATACTACTGTATAACTTGTTCTTTACGACTTTTTTTACACTCGATTATACCGGATCGCCGTGTGTTGGGATGTTTTTGTACTTATTTACGACGAAGATTAGTGACGTTATACGGTGCACTCGGCGTACTATAGAAGTGCCTGTTGGAACAATGGTTGTGAGGCTCGACATTAAACCATTTATTCTTACAGGCCTCACCCAATTTACTTATGCTTGTATTGTCGATTTCGTAATTTCTATTGCTAATATATAAAAGAGTATACGGATTATAACTCTGAATCTACACTTTTCGTCACCTGAAAGTCGATAGGATAGCGAAAGCATGATACACAAAAAAGTCGAGTACGATTGAGAAAATTTATGTAAACTCAAGAGGTGTATGGAAGAAAAGAGCAATGAATCGATGAAAAAAGGTGCGACGAATTGAACTAAACGTGGAGGGTGACGAAGAAGCCATTGCAGTATCCGAAAGCACTAGGCCCGCGAAAGGGACTGAGGGACTGAGTTGTGTCAGAGGATCAAGGGATTGGTGACAGTAGGATTCGAACTCGTCAGTTTTCGAAACGGAAGGCCAAGCGCGTACCCATTTAACCAATTTTATGAAGTTGGCAAATTTGAAAGGTCGTGTCCTAGAAACTCTCTCTTTCTCCATAGGTGCTTAGGAAGCAAATCCACTTTCTTCTTCCTTTGGTCAAACCTGCTATGATCCATGAGGCATTTTGAATGGAGGGAAAAGAATGATTTATAAACTCTATTTCTTCTGGAAGCCCACCAAAGCATACGTTAGATGGTCTAAGAAATCAATTTGGGTTTGTCCAAGGTATAATGACCTTTTGAACCAGCTATACGTAGTTATTTATGATCGGAATAGGATCAGGCAACGAGTAAAAGTCGTTGATTTTTCTCATCACAGAACATCATCCCCAAATCTGCACTGCCCCGGAAACTAACTTGATTTCAAAAGTCAAAAATTGCAGGTCATATTTGAATAAGAATCCTGTTTTCTAATGTAAGAAAAACCTGTCATTGAGCTGACTGCCATGTTCTGAGTTGAACGTTTTGTCATCTGAACAATCTTTGTTTATCAATTGCAGAAGACAATGGCAGTTGAAATCTAAAAAATTTTTAGGTGTTTCTTTCACACTGACCTGTTTCAAAGTTGATATTTCAAGTTAATCCTTGGCCAGTTGAGCAATCTTGCGTCATGTATCAAAACTCTCTCCGTTAGAGATTGGAAAGATATCTCCAGCGAATTCTTCCTCTCTTGAGGTTCAATCTTCATTTTGGTTGAAATGAAGATGTAACTTCTTTTGCACGGGAAATTGAATGGAGCAATGGAAGTACCCAATGATACTTTAGACATGATGTGCCCAAAACAATATTGACATTATCTAGTTTGACAATTGCATCGTCAGATTTGTAATTTCATAACCTATGTAGTACGACAAATGCAAGTGAGTTTCAATGTAGGTAGAACTTTCTATACAGTTGTGGATTCAAGCGGGTCTAGTGGATCGCCAGGGCTCCTTTTGTTCTCCGGAATCAATCCAAACTAGATCTAATGTTAGGAAGAAATGATGGTTGGATATAGTGTACCGATATAAAATAGTTGCCCTAACTATAACACTTAGTCAAGATTGATTATGTCACGGGTGCAAAGTGTTAGTTTTAAATTAGCATCCCTCCAGTATAATGTCATTAATTAGCAGGGTGCCTCTTCAACTTGGGTTGATAACTCCAACCCAACATAAGGGATATCGAACAAATGAATGGGAGAGTAAGATTATCCGATGAGTATCCATGTGTACATTGATTAACTAACGATAAGCACGGATAAATTCAATCGAAACTCCGATGTGATGTCAAATAATTCCAACTCAGAAGCTTAATCTCTTAGCGGAGATCATATCAATCCTAATGATAATCTGACACTAGGGTGAGAGGTGCAGTATTTGGGCCTTTCTTTTAGGTCGAGATTATTAGCATGAACTCGCATCGTGACTAGGTTAGAGGTTTCTTTAATTTGATTCCAAGTGTTTGATCTTTATCCAAAATTAATTTCTAATAATACCAAGTTTTTGTTGTTCGACAATTATCGCAAGTAGGCTGAATGGAGGATGAAGAATTGTACTCATGATCTATGCGAATAGGCCCGATGAGTTCGATAGGCCCGCTAATCACATGGGTGCGCATGCATAGAGAAAATAGGTCCCTTAACATTGACCCAATATGCAATATGAACTTTTAATTTATTCATTATGGTCCCTGAACTTTAGTCCAATATGTAATATCTTCCCTGAACTTTTAATTTGCTAAATATAGTCCATAAACTTTTGGTACATGTTCAATTTAGTCTCTGATTTGAGCTGAATATTATCCACGTGTAATGTTATTTTTTTATCCACCATTCAAAGTTCCATTAACTTGAATTAATGGAAAGATAATATTGGACATTTTCATATACTTTAGAGATTAAATTGAATATTTATTAAAAATTTAGGGATCGCATTAAATAAATTAAAAGTTGAGGAATGGCATTGCACATTGGGCTAAAGTTCATGGTCCATTTGTGTAATTATTCCAACATGAAAATGATGATTTTATCATTTTAAGACATTCAAGCCGAGGTAGATTAATTTATCCTAGTTTATATTTTTTAGATTATGTATTGAGTGGCTTAAAAAGACGGTTCTCTTTTTAATTGGTCCCAATTTATACATCAAGATCAGCTGGGACAAGGGGATTTCTCAGGTATAATAATATACTGTATAACTTGTTCTTTTACGACTTTTTTTTTTACACTCGATTATACCGGATCGCCGTGTGTTGGGATGTTTTTGTACTTATTTACGACGAAGATTAGCGATGTTATACGGTGCACTCGGCGTACTATAGAAGTGCCCGTTGGAACAATGGTTTTGAGGCTCGACATTAAACCATTTATTCTTACAAGCCTCACCCAATTTACTTATGCTTGTATCGTCGATTTCGTAATTGCTATTGCTAATATATAAAAGAGTATACGGATTATAACTCTAAATCTACACTCTTCGTCACCTGAAAGTTGGTAGGATAGCAAAAGTGTGATACACAAAAAATCGAGAACGATTGAGAAAATTTATGTAAACTCAAGAGGTGTATGGAAGAAAAGAGCAATGAATCGATGAAAAGAGGTGTGAGGAATTGAACTAAACGTGAAGGGTGACGAAGAAGCCATTGCAGTATCCGAAAGCACTAGGCCCGCGAAAGGACTGAGGGACTGAGTTGTGTTAGAGGATCAAGGGATTGGTGACAGTAGGATTCGAACTCGTCAGTTTTCGAAACGGAAGGCCAAGCGCGTACCCATTTAACCAATTTTATGAAGTTGGCAAATTTGAAAGGTCGTGTCCTAGAAACTCTCTCTTTCTCCATAGGTGCTTAGGAAGCAAATCCACTTTCTTCTTCCTTTGGTCAAACCTGCTATGATCCATGAGGCATTTTGAATGGAGGGAAAAGAATGATTTATAAACTCTATTTCTTCTGGAAGCCCACCAAAGCATACGTTAGATGGTCTAAGAAATCCATTTGGGTTTGTCCAAGTTATAATGACCTTTTGAACCAGGTAAACGTAGTTATTTATGATCGGAATAGGATCAGGCAACGAGTAAAAGTCGTTGATTTTTCTCATCACAGAACATCATCCCCAAATCTGCACTGCCCCGGAAACTAACTTGATTTCAAAAGTCAAAAATTGCAGGTCATATTTGAATAAGAATCCCGTTTTCTAATGTAAAAAAAACCTGTCATTGAGCTGACTGCCATGTTCTGAGTTGAACGTTTTGTCATCTGAACAATCTTTGTTTATCAATTGCAGAAGACAATGGCAGTTGAAATCTAACAAATTTTTTGGTGTTTCTTTCACACTGACCTGTTTCAAAGTTGATATTTCAAGTTAATCCTTGGCCAGTTGAGTAATCTTGGGTTCTTCCTGGATTTATGACTCCGCCTTTAGCCATGTCGTGCTTGATTTTCATGGTGTTCATGCTGCTAAAGGTGGCATGTTCCGACACCGTTCAGGGGAATTTCAGCTTCTATGGGCTATTAAAGCTCGAAGGTGTCCTAGAGGTAGATTCCAATGGTGTAATTGTCGTAACAAACTCGACGGCACAAGATGCGGGCTACGCATATTACAGCAGTCCCCTCCAGTTCAAGAATTCATCGGCGGGTAATGTCTTCTCTTTCTCGACAACTTTCGTCTTCGCTGTTCATTCTGCGGACCTTTCGAATGGGAGCACATTTTCCTTGGTCATTTCGCCCTCTAAGGTGACTCCTGGAATCTCGCCAAACAACAGTGCCTGGTCACTGAACAATTCCAATGACGGGAACAGTTCAAACCACGTGATCGTACTTGAACTCGACCGGATCATCGGTAACAATCAATATGGGAGTTCTGAGAGTTTCATGCTCAATACAGGAGACCCGATCCAAACTTGGTTGGAATACAACAGCACCAACAACCAAGTCGAGGTCACCTTATATCCGGTTAGTAAGCCGAGACCTAGTGTCCCCCTCTTGACCTGGACGCAAGATATTTCTTCTTACATGTACGAGTACATGTATGTCGGCTTCTCATCATTTGCAGAAACATCTTCGACGTCTCATTACCTATTAGCCTGGAACTTCAAAATGAAAGGCGAAGCTGAAGACATCGAAGCGTCTCGGCTTCCTAAACTTCCTATAGGCACTGAAGGAAATGGAAGATACAGAAAATTAAAGAAAATCGTAGCCGTAGTTCTGTCCCTATCTGCGGCTACTTTTGTCCTGGTTTTAGTTTTCGGTGCAATCTTGGTTTTGAGGAAGAGGAGGTCTAGGGAAGTGTTGGAAGATTGGGAAGTCCAGTATGGACCGCACAAGTTCACCTACAAGGAACTCTTCGCCGCCACAAAGGGCTTCAAGGACAGAGAGCTTCTCGGGAAAGGAGGGTTCGGCCGAGTGTACAGAGGACTCTTGCCAGTGTCGAACATGCAGATTGCAGTGAAGAGGGTTGCCCACGATTCCAACCAAGGGATGAGAGAATTCGTCGCAGAAATCGCCACCATTGGCCGCCTACGGCATCCGAACCTTGTAAGGCTTCTCGGTTATTGCAGGCGGAAGGAAGAACTGTTCCTAGTCTATGATTACATGCCCAATGGAAGCCTAGACAAGTATTTGTATGGGCAACCGAAATCGACACTCGATTGGGGAATGCGATACAAGATCCTGAAAGATGCGGCGGCGGCGCTCTTCTATTTGCACCAGCAATGGACACAAGTGGTCATACACCGGGATATCAAAGCCAGCAATGTCCTGATAGATGGCGAAATGAATGCGAGATTAGGAGATTTCGGCCTGGCCAAGTTAGTCGACCACGGGACCGACCTCCAAACATCTGTCTTGGCGGGCACGCTGGGCTACATCGCACCCGAGCTTGCCCGGACCGGCAAAGCGAGCACAAGCACTGACTTGTATGCGTTTGGGATTTTCATGTTGGAGGTCGTTTGTGGAAGGAGGCCGTTGGATCCCCGAGCGCCAGCAGATCGAACTCTTCTGGCCGAGTGGGTGCTAAACTGCTGGGAAAGGGGAGATCTTCTGGAGGCCGTGGACGGCAGGCTCCGGAACGAGTACACAGCCGAGGAAGCCGAAGTGGCATTGAAGCTCGGGCTCTACTGCTCACACACGGTGGCAGCTGCTAGGCCCAGCATGTCTAGTGTGGTTCAGTACTTGAACGGAGTCTCGAAACTGCCCGACGACTTGAGCGACATAATTAAAGCTCGGGACTTCCCGGGAAGCACTAGCGCCACTAGCTCGGTCATGCCACGGAACATGTCGATCTCTTCATGGACGTTCTCGGCATCTCTGGTCGCCGAAGGCCGGTAAAGATTGCTGGGTTTTGTTTCGAGTTCTCCGTCTCTCGGTTTAGTATGAACAACTAGCATGAAATGGCCATGTACCAAATAATTTCTCGTCTCTCTTTAGCAGAATTCTATATATTGTTCCCTCCGCAAGGATACAGATTCTTTTTCCCTTGCTGTAAATTTCAATAATTATTAATAAGTGTCCAAAAATTGTTAACAAAACAATAAGCAATAACTATTTTCAGGTAACTCATTTTTAATTTAGCAACCCTTTGATGAAATTATCGATTTTTTTAACATTTGCATATTACACTTTTTGTTTCGATATACTAACTTTTTGTTTCTATAACTTATTAACGCATCGATGAAATTAACAACGTAAATTAGAGTAATTTACCAACTTTTATCAGATTAAATTACCAGCTAGTCTTGAATTACCAACTCTCATTTGAGTTACTTAGCAACTATTAATTCTTTGTTATTAATTTATTAAATTTTCTATTGAGTTACAAATTTTTATTTGGCTTGGTTAGAAGCTTTACATTTACTAAACTTTTTTTAATAGAGAACCAACCTAAAATAGCATGATTCACTGACCTTTATTTGGTAATTTTTAAAAAGAATCGGCAAATTTAAAAAGTTGCGAAGTAAGGCAAACAAAGAAGGTAACTTAATAAAAAAAAGTAGTAAATTTAAGGAAAGAAAATAAAAGTCGTAAATAATAGAAGTTGCTAAGTGATCCACACCAGTATTATTTGGTTTTTTTTTCTAATTTACCAACTTTTTCTTAAGTAACTTGATTAGCAAAAGGGTTGGTAATTTAATCAAATAAAATTTTTTAATTTCATATAAAAGTTGATAAATTTAAAGCATTGGTAAGAAAGATAAAAAAATTAATAAAATGTTAAATAAGGGTACTTTTGTCGCAGACAATAGAAGTTAATAATTTAGCAAAAACCAAATAAACGTCGGAACTAACTTAAATAAGAGTTAATAATACTATAACTTACTGGTAACTTAATTGTAGAAAAGGATTGGTAAGTAAGAGTCATAAAAGTGTTTAGGATTAATAAAATTAAGGCATTGGTAATAATAAATAACAAACGTCAGTAAACGACCAAAAAAGTTGATAAATTAAAAGAATGTCGGTAAATGATTCAAATAAGAGTTGATAACCCAAAATTAGTTGGTTGTTTAGTCCAAAAAAAGTTAGCTGGTAACTCAAATAAAGATTGGTAAATTCATGTAAGAGTTTGTAAATTTAAGGGGTGAGTAAAAAAAAAGCAAATAAAAGTTGGCAAAAGATAAAAATAAATTATTAATTTGCAAACTATCAAAGATAGTTGATAATTTTTATAAAAGTGTAGGTAAGTTACCAACAATTTTAATCAAAACTCAGGTGGTCACTAATCTTTTTTGGCAGATATTTTTTTTACACATAACAACTCTTTCAGAAATTTACCTGTACGGTACATAGAATCCGATTTTTTAAGAAATGGATCAGTGGAAATGTCCCTCTTTTCATGGGATAGTTTTATGAATTGAGAAATTTCCAAACGAATAATCTCAATAAAAATCTTTCAATTATCGTATTTTACTCCGTACGGACTCTTTGAATCACTCCCATCGCATCAATTGCGGTGGATCGATGTCTAAGGACTACAGCAGTCCACTGTCTTTATCGCAAGTATTCCAGTCCTTCATTGATTTTGGAATGTCCAGACCATATTCATCGGAATTTTCCTGCGGAATGACGGAATTTTCGGGCTCCGTTTGTTTCGACGAATTCGTTTTGGTAAAAAAAATACAAGTTTATCTTCGAAAATAAGTTACGAGAATTTTTCTTTCAGGCCGTGCAGAAGAGAAAATCTCGAAAACTGTTGAAATGAATGGCCAACAAAGGCTCAGGGTCCGGCTGCCGGCCGCAGAGATCTCCGGTCCGACCGCCGGGGTTTCGGCGAGGAAAATATTATCGGACGATAAAGGCCGATTTAGGTAGCTCAAGCCCAGCGATCTTGTTAAAAGACTGCTAATCACGTTACCCATTGGACTTGAGGCTGATCTGACGGCCCATGCTTTAAGTGCAATGGATTCACAATGTTGCATCAATTTCCTTCTCTGGTCAAATGTAGTTTACACGCATCTTGCTAAAAGACTGTCATCTTGTTAAAAGACTGTTAATCACGTTACCCATTGGACTTGAGGCTGATCTGACGGCCCATGCTTTAAGTGCAGTTGATTCACAATCTTGGATCAATTTCCTTCTCTTGTCGAATATAGTTTACACGCATCCTTCCAATTTGGAGTCATATCAAGAGAAAAATTAGATGATTCGAATGCGTCATGATCGAGAGATCTTCAGCATCGAAGAAATGAAAATCACAGCGAACAATCTCTCGGAAGGCGCAAATTTGCAATGTTGCGTCTATACTTCCACAATTTGTCGCGATGAAATAGTTTAACGAAAATTAGATGCTTGGACATTGAATTAGGGTGCCATGAAAACTCCGACGTGGTTGGAAAAAGCAAAAGCCTGTGCTACCATCGTCCGAGGCGAGGGGAAAAAGATAAGCATTAGAAAAAGAAAATTAAGAAAATTGTAGCATTCCCGACATGTGAGATGTTTATGCGACGGATACATCACGTGATGTGACGTAACTGATCAATTATCTTTATTTACTCGACGTCATATGTGTATGTATATCACTCAATTGGCAGGTTTCCGCCGCGTGACAGCTTCGCCCGAAATAATTGCGGCCCACAATGCCCGCCAAGAACCGTGACTCGAGGAAACCCGAAAAAAAAAAAAAAAGCTAAAGAAAAAAAGGGCAAAAGAAAAGGCTCCTCCTTCCGCAAAGTTTCCTTTGTTAATGTGTAGCCAATCTTTTTTCTAGGAAGGAGAGACTAATGGCACAACATCTTTATTCAAATGCCAAAAACTTAACTGGGACTTTTGTCTTTTGACCTTTGTACTAATTGGATGATGAAAAGGGATCTAATTGCAATCATGTAGCTGTTTTGATGCCTTTTGGTTGAGTGTTTGGGACGATGGGGTTGGAAGTCAAATTGTGTAGCCCTTAGTGCGTGTGAAGAAGCTTTATGCGATTGGGTTTCATTTGAATATTTAGGCACATAAAACCATATTGGGAAAGTGAACTAATAAAAGTGGACACGGGTCTTGGCGGACGCATGGTCAACTTCCTCCCCATTCCCATTGGCCTTGCAAAACTTTTCTTTTAATATATTTTTCGGCGTATTCATCATATTTTATACGAATATAAAGTAAAGGATTAGTTGTGCCTTTTTTTTTTTTTTTTTGCTGGAATTAGCTCGAAAAAAGAAAGCGAAAGAACTCGATCAACAAGGTATGGCAGACATACATGTAGTGGTTGAATATTTAAGTACTTTTTTTAATTGGCTAATGTTTTAAATGCTTTAACACTACCGACTAAGATTACCATTTATTGAATGAGGCCACCTTTAAGTTGTAGTGTATTTGGCAAGAAGAACACTCTTGAAGGCCTTTTGTTTCCAATAATGGCAGGGACCATTTCGAGGAGTTTCGGCAGCTAGCTATGTTTCGATTTTTCAATTGGGGTCTTCTCAATTAGAATATGTAATCAACTTGGTTGTGGCTCAATTTGGTTTGGACCTATTGGTTTTGTCCCAAACCTACTCTAGAACTCCCCCCAAAGTGCTGGTTTAGGGTTGCAAAAGTACGATTTTAATATGCCAAAAGAGAACTTCGGCCAAAATAAATTAACTAATAACCATAAAAAAACTACTTATTCGAAAGTATATCCTTTCTGATATAAACCCCTTAAATAAATTGCCCAACCTTTTGAACAAAGAAAAAAAAAACAGGTGGAAAATTTAATAACTCCGAGTTTCTTTTATCGTAAACCCTTTTTTTTTCTGTGGTTTCGTAATCGGGCGATGCTCGGGGTTAGCTCTCGAGCACCTCGACCGATCTATTGTCAACCCTTTTTTTAAAAAAAAAATTTCCTTGCATTTGGAGCTAGGATGCGAGATTTCTTGAGCTTATTTTTCCGGCTTACAAAAAGCTCGGAAAAACGTGAATAAATAGCAAAAAAAACATGTCAAAGGGCAAAGTCTCTTTCCACGACTTTGCTCAAATCTCTCCCTCCCAAGTTGCAATTTTCTATTAAATCCCCAACAATGGCCTAGGTAAGCCATGGCTGTTAGCTTGTATTAATATACATTGACGGATCCTTCCTCGTAATTAAAGTACATTATCGAGAAGATCTCATTGTACCCAGCATATCTCTTAAAATTTAAATGAGCCAGGTTGCAGGGTTCATTGCATCGGGCCAACGGCTTTAATAATATAAATTATTTTTGCCCTAATTATAATAATGGAGGCATTTTCCAGCTCCCCAAAACAATAAAGATTTTGATTTCTTTTCCCAAAGCTTCATTTCTTATTCCTTACCTAAAAAAGTTTCATGTCTTCGCATGTACAACTTGACTAGACCTAGATTTAATATCGTTAAGCATAATCGGTACGTGATTTTGACATTTGCGCCGCTGATCATATGCCGGAAATTTTTATATTCGTCGCCTTCTTCTGGGAGTATATTACCGAAGATCGGACTAGGGTCTACGGATCTAACCACATGTTGGACTTAATTAAATTTAATTGATTAATTTGTTTATCATATTTAGACAATGTCAAATTTTCATGGACATTGGCCAATTATACAATAAATATACTTGTTAAAAGTCAAATGATATTTTTCACTTTTTTTTTGTTCATAAAAAGTCAAATGATAATTTTCACAATCAGTTCCACACTCTCATTCGCGTGGTATGCTGAATCGGGAACAAATTTTTTTTTTCTATGAACGTGAACCACACAAAGGGAAATTATGAAATAAGCATATGACTTGACTTGACTTCTAATAAAATGGGAGAGAATATATTAGCATGACACCGATGATTTTATTGACATTTGCTATATTTAAATCAGGCTTCGTTTGTTTTACGGCAAATGAATTATATAGAAAATATTTTTCTAAAAATCAATTACATGTATCACTTACAAAAATGAATAAACATAATATATTTGCATCATTCACGGAAATGTTTAAACATATAGGCCTAATTTGTTTCGTGGAAAATAAATGATTTGGAAAACATTTTTATAAAATGATATCTTATATCACTTACGAAAACAAA